CACCGATCACATCACCATGGCCGGTCGTCGCTTTCCAACTTAGCGGCTGAATCGGGAGGATGCGGAGACGTCAGTGTCGTGTTAAATGAGCGCAGGATTGATGGCTGTGCAGCTTCTTCTTCTTTTTTTTTTAATTCCGTTCACTCTGCGACGTTGCAGCTCCGGTAAAAGTTGTCGGAAAGTTTTGCGCAAGTTCTGCTGTTTGAAAGTGCTCCTCCTTGCCGGCAAATTGCGGGGTGAAGGATTCGGGGAATATGACTAAGCATCCTTTACACCTAGAAAAGATTGCCATTTGGAGACCAAATCCGTGAAAGGAAGCACGATTTAAAGGGAGGCAGTAAGAGCTTTATCACTCCGCAGGAAAATGTGCCATTTAAGAAGATGTAAAAAACAGTAATTTTATTACCCGAATATCTTCTCATGCAAGTGATTTCATTTCTCTTGTCAACCTCTGCAGAACCCTTTATTTGATCTTGCATTCCTGGGTTTAACTGCATCAAACTTGCTAGCCAAAGTTTATTTTCATTTGGAAAACACATTTTCTATATGAAAGGGCGTGGGGTTGGGGAGGCGTGTAGCACCGAAAGTTTTTTTCTGTTGAATGTAAATGTCCTCTTTGAGTAACTTTGCATGCGGGACCATTGGAGCTAAAACTTACATTTCCTTCCCACCGGGCAGGCTTGGAAAGGACTCAATTTGGTGCAATTTGCCGCACTCACGTTTTAATGAATGGAAACGTGTCTCCCTCTCCCTATCATTTTGCTCTGGTGAATGTGGCATTATGGGATACATTTTGGACCCTGAAAACCTCACTCGAAGCGCTTTTTTTTTTTTTTTTTTGTGCAGTATGAATAAATCGGGCTTGTTTTGCATTGGTTTCTGAAAAAGAGCCCACACATCACAGATATAATGTCCCAGGAATTCGCTCTGCCTTTGTTTTGCTTTTTTATGAATCGATTTGCCGTATAGTCATAATTACGAAGCCACAAAAATGAGCACGGTTTCCCCAGTGTCTCAAAGGATAATGTAACATGATGCCTTTAGTGTACAAACAGATTAAATCAGGCTGGCGTTCACAGCTGCATTGCAACTGTATTTGCTGTATGAAATTAATTGGATTCTCCTAAATGTACCGTGACAGTGAATTGCAAAGTACCTGAGAGAGAGAGCTGTGACGATTTCACTCGACTGAGCTGCTGCATCTCAAGCCTGGAAATTCGACTGATGTAGGAGTCGGGGACCCAGTAGCGGTGTTGGGGGTCCAGGGTTGCCGGGGTTGTCCTGCCTGTAAAATGAGGTGTTTAAACACAGGCTGTCATTGATGTGTCGCCATAGTGACACCTGTGGCTGGTGTCTGATTGTAGTTGCTGGGGGGCGTTTTGTTCTTATTGCTGGTGGGGTCCAAGATAGCTGTGCCACTGGCAGGCTGTACACATTTTCTAGGTGTACCAAAAGCAGGTGGCCACATCTCAAGGTATTGGACAGCATCCCACGGAATGCAGTCATGGGAGAGGGGTGGAGGGGGGGGGTTGGAAAATGCCAGAAGAGCGTCCATACTGTTAGCATCAAACAGCATGGCTTTCTATCTGGCAACCTGTTAACGGAGACTGGAAAGTCGTGGATGGTACCACGGGTGGGGGGGGGGTTGCGTTTGATACCAGAGTCTCCCCTCCCTCCCTCCCTCCCTGCAGGCCCCCCCGTTAAAAAGGCCCTCTTTATTTCGCAGGATGAAAATGCACACTGTGAAGGAGAACAGTTATTTTTTTTTTATGTTAACCATGCAGCACACTTTCATCTTACTACAATCTGCTCCATAATGGGAAGACTGCTGCGAGGTGCCCTTGCTTGTTTAAATTTACTCACAGCAAAGTCTTTTGATTTCATCAAATGGCCCTAATTCAAATGCAGTTTTGAAGACGTGCACGTTTAAAGGGGGAGCACAAGAGCTCATTTAACCTGAAGTGTCCGTCTCCTTTCGCCGGCCGTTTTGAAGTGCCAGGCCGGAGTGATCTGCCTCGCTCCTTGCTCGCGTTTCCTTTTCCTCTTCTTATTTATTTTTTTTTCCCTTCCCTATCGGCTGAAGTCCCCCCTCTCCCCCCCCCCCCCCCCCTGCCACCCGCGGCTCCTCTTGCTCTTTTCGGACAGCTTTTAATGAGCAGGTGTCATTGAGCTGAAGACCTTTTGCATAAACCTTCTGCTCTCCAACACTCCGTGGTGCTCACCCAAGTTTGTTTATTGTTGGCTTAATACCCTCAGCGCTGTCAAAAACAATGATAAACTTTCGCGGTGAAAACCAGACGCTTTAATGTTGTCAGTTTTAATGTGTTGATCTTAAGTATTGTCTTTTATTATTTACATATTTATAATTTTTTTCTTGCCATAACAAACGATTCAGTGTCGCTTTCCAGCACCTACGTTGAAGATGGTCAGATATTAACTTCCTTTCATGTACTGATTAATTACTTCAATTATATGGATTATAAACACAATATTTGTGATTAAGTTTATTCTTGTCACCAGTGCTGATTTAATGCCTGTGAGGCGGCATTCTTTTGCTGTAATTAAAATCCAAATGACAAAAAAAACCCTTTGATTTGCATTTTTATAGGCCTGTGTGTCAGTTTTTGGTTAAGCCATCGGTGATGCGGATAGGCTAACCCTCACCACAAACTCCATAAAACAGAACATGCCTCCTAATGCGTTTTCCAAAAGAAAAGAGGGCAAATGAAAGCAGAGCAGAAACAAACCGCCTTTTTGGTTTTATTTATGGTGTCTTGAGGAAAAAAAACCATAAGGTCAGATATGTGAATTTCATTTAGCACACAAGTAAATATATTCACAAATGCGAGACAAGGGTGTCGTTTCAGAGACGTAAGACAAAATAATGAAAGGAAAATCATAGCAATGCATTAATGTTAAATACTACACAAAATGCATAAAGCCCTTTCTATACATATGTATTTGAGGGTTATGATTACATATCTGAAAATGACTTATGGTTAGGTAGAATGCACAATTTGAAGAGCTTTTTGGAAAGGTTTACATCGTTTGGAGAACATCCAGGATAAACTGATGTGGGATTTTATTAGTTGGCCTGAAGTTTTTCATTGCATTGCAGAATCAAAGTCAACAGATATTTCTTATTTTTATTTATTTATACACACACACACACACGAATCAAAGATTATCTCTGGGTGGGAAGATGTTAAGCTTTATTCAAGGTGTCCCCAAAGCAGGCACAAATTTCACAGAAAAGCCTGCGAGTTTAAAAGGTTAACATTTAATAGATGTATAGGGGAGTGGATTTGAGTACGGAGCAGAGATCACTGCGTGGTTTAATCCTCTTACGTAAAGGTCTCTTTAACTGTAGTCTGTGATACAGCACAGCTGGACACTGCGTAGTCTATGTGCTTATATGTCCAGTGCGTGACTCTTACAGTATCTGAGCGTGCTCGTTCCATATTTTACTTTGAGTTTAACAAACCGAGCACATGGCGAGCTCTCGAGCCAGCAGTCATGATGTATCGATATCAGATTGTCGGTCTCCGAGCTCCCAATTTGCAGCTCAAGGTCGGGAGTTGAGCATCTTTGTCCTGATCAGGATAATGAGAAAAAATAAATGCTATGGTTTTAACGTGAATGAACTCATCTGCATGTTTGGTGTATATACAAATTTGTCGACAGTTAAACGGTTGAATTAGCTAAATGGCTTATTCCGTCACCTGTTTTTTTTTTTTTTACGGCTCCGTCTCGATGCGTCGTGATTACAGTAGCAGGTGTGTTGGCATTTTCCTGCTCTTTAAGCTATATGCTTCGGCAGTTAAGGTGACGGACAAAACGGGCGGCTCGTTATCCGGTCCATTCGTCCGCCTGAATTGGGCCAGCCTGAGAGAGCGAGGGCTCAGCCAGCTGGAGGCGTGTTTGTTCGCTCGTTCGCTCGCCTCCGCAAACGTTGAGCTCCACTCCAGCCCCATTTGATCCTCTCCCCTTAAAATATGTAAGCAAACGCTAGGACCTAATTGTAAGCGCTTAATAGGGATTTTCAAGTAAGTTACCATGGATACTAATAAAGTAGCATTTATAAAATGATAATTAGCTTGTCATGTAATCAGTATACTTTAATTGCTCGTTTTGGTCATATTAATATTATGATTTGTGCGACGAAAAAAAAGAGGTTTCGGATGCATCATGATATTTCTTCACGCACCGTATATCTGGTATCAAGGATTATTTGTTAGCTGCTAGGTTTAATATGAGTTGATTACACTCCTGTATTTTTTATGTTCCATCCGCATCCACCTCTGTTGCTGTGTAAGCAGTGGAAATGTGTCCAGGCTTGAAATGAGACTTGCAAAGACATGCTCTTTTAGGGTTAGTTTATTGAGGGCGAATTTGACAGAAAAGGACTGCGGCACCCAGGAGCAGAATCGGCTGTCCGCAGCATGCGGGTCCCACACTTGCTAAACTAATAAAACTTTCAGTCTTCCTCAGATTCCCGGCTCTGTATTATAAACAGCCCCTTTCATCCTGCCCCCTCACCCGACGGATAGGCTTAAGTAGGACATCAGCGTGAAACGCCTCGCCCCCCCCTCCCAACACACACGCATGCACCCGCACACATTTCTGCATTTTTTCAGGTCTGGGGAAAGAATATAATGGTGGTGATTTATTGTGGAGGGGAGCAAAGGTTAACCTGCATTTAACAATGGCTGCCACCGCTGCTCTGATGCGACCGGCGGGCCGGGACAATAATGACTAACTGGCCGCCTGCGTGGGAGTGGGAAAGCGCTGGATGGACCCCGGACATCATCCGCTCAACCTGGGCCGGGTCTGGGCCAGGTTCTGGGGGGTGGCTGGTCCCATTCTATCTGTTCTAATTGAAAACTAACAATTACAAGGTTGCTATGGAGATTATACTGGCTCTCGCAGACAGAAAGCGAAGTCCCCTCACGCCCCCCCCCCCCCCCTTCCTAAACCCCACCCACCCTACTCCTTTTTACTTTTTTTTTTTGCCTTGACAAAAAGGCTCTGGTGGTATTGTCTGACCTCATTGACATTGGCTGTCCAGAGCCCTGCAGGAAAATAGAGGTAGCGAAATTAGCAGGAGGGATGGAGGCGTGTGCCCAATCACCGCTGTCTGCCCCAGCTCCGCTTTCACCTCTATTATGCCTGTTTTGTCTTTTCACCCTCGGTCGTTGACGGAGAGCGCAGTCCCCGCCCGTTCCTTAGCGTTATGAAAGTGTGCGACGTTAGCAGCACTCAAGGACGCTGGCCTTGTTGACTCCTGCTGTTCCCGGACTGTAATAAATATTTACAGCTGTGGATTTTACAATGACAAAATGTTCGGCGCATGGAAACGTTGCGTGGTTCATACTGCTTCATCGACCTGTCGCCGTCATCCGTTATTGGCTGGATGTGCCTGGGCGTTTATCAATGTATAGTTGGGCGGCATCAATCAGGAATTGGGTTCGCAGTCTTCTTGCAGTTGACGAGTCGGGTGAACTTAAATGCTGCCCATTAGCGAGCGTTTGGCGAAGATGCTCCTTAAATGCAGGGGCATGAAGATGAGGTGTGGAGAATCGGTACTCGCTTACCCTACAGTCGGTGGCATCGGACACCCTGTTCCCAGACTCTTGCTTAAGCCCGACCAGAAACACTTAGTTGAGCGTCTGACTGTACCTACAGCCAGAGGGAGAAGGGGAGACAGGAGGTCAGACTTAAGGCGGCAGCGGCACCCCGGGCCGCAGGTCAGGAACAGCCTGGTAGCGATGATACTCCGACTGGCGGAATTAGCAGATAACGTGCCTCTCAGAGCTCGTTTCACCGTGCTAATCGGAGCTGCCATACGGTTTACAAAACAGATCTGCTGTCTTGGGGAGTAATTCAGAGTAGCTAAAAGTTTCATAGCCTTCACACTTAAGTGTGTGAGTCTGTGTGCGGCTTGCTCAGGTCTTTGGTATGTGGTTAACATATGTAGTGTGGTTATTATTTGTGAATGAGGACATGTCTACATGGCTGTGTCAGTGCCCACCCCCCCCCATGGGTCTTCTTGCCGGGGCCGTCCCCACTGTCCATACCCCTTTGAAGTTTGGGAGCTCCCTCCCTCCACTCTGCCGATGTCGACAGAGACGCAGGCCGGCCAGGCGCGGCGTTAAATCTTCCAGCTCCATGTGGTGCTGTGAGCTGGTAGCAGATGGACCGTCGCCTGCATCTGCTGTGTACAGACCTGGCTTTGTACTCCTTTCCTGGGGGAGACGGCCTTTCTTCTCAGCTAGTCGGTTCCTGTTTTGTGAAGCAGCTAAGAAAAACATCTGTGGCGGGCTGAAGTGGTGGTGGAGGGGGGGGGCGGGGGGGTACAGGGGGGTCGGGGGAGGAAAAAAAAAATTGACGAGGGATTGACAAACAGCATTAGCTAAAGGGTGCCGTCTTGTTGCGGGAGTGCGTTGTTTACAGTGCGCCGCACACCTTCATCCATCACACTCTGCGCTTGCCAGCACAGTGACTGGAGTCCTGTGTTTCTCATTAAGGTTAGTAATTGATTGAATATAGCGTTCAGAAGTGGTGGGGGTGGGGGGGCGCTTGATTAACATCTGTTAAGACAAATTGTCAGTGTGGTGTGGTTTTCAAGTACATCGAAGGGGCTTTTTTTGCATTTGATTTATCAGAATCTCGGGCTGCTTGCCTGGTTTACCTCTTTTTTTCCTTTTTTCTTTTCCCCCTCTTCCGAATACTTTTTTTTCTGGATTACCTGGCATTTACTGTTTCTCCCAGCGCGTGGTGCGTCGTTGCCGACTTTGCCCGGCTCGGCAGGCGTCAGGCGTATTTATCGTGGAGCCGTAGCCGCCAGAGAGGGGCTGAGGAACTCGCGCGCTGTTTTTCCGAGCAGGTCGGAGCTCCTCACTTTGGGATGATAATGGCAGGCGCGCACGGCCGCCTCGCGCTCAAGCCCCCTCGCCCCTCGCGCCGCAGCCCCAGAGACGAACCCTGCCGATTAAACGCTCACTTTTTTCTCTCTCTCTCTCTCCCGTCTGTGTGTGATTGTCCTTGGGCACCAAAACAATCAGGGGGCTGCTTGATTTGTTTTAATTACCAGCAGAAGATGTCATCAGTCTGGGACGAGTGCAGCAGAAAGTGTGCCTGCAGTAGATAATAAACACCGCAATACGTAGTTTCGTGATAAAAGCTTTAACATTTAACGAGATCCCGACTTTTTTCCATCTTTTTTTCCAATTTAAACTGCCGTTGTTGTTTTTTTCCAGAAGCACATTAAGGCTTCTAAGAATATCTTCAGATGCCCGATTAATAGGGAATTGTGTTTTTTTTTCTTCTCATTCTTTAAAAGGTAGGTTATTTTTTCCTTTAATTCTGGGGCTGGATGAGCATGTTTTGGCCCCCGTGTCTGTATGTGTGTGCGCGTGCCGCGTGGCATGGCGTGAACGCGACCTTTTGATGTACAGGTTAGGCACGTTTGATTTCTTGTTTTGAGGAAAGCCCCCCAGTCGTTCGTAGAGTGCGTTTCTGCGGCCGGGACTCGCTGCGAGAGGCGCCGCTAATGTGATTCGGACTTAAACGGACGGAGGGAAGAAAGCGGCCGAGTCGTAGTGGAAGAATAAAGCAGGCAGAAATACCTTTCTCTGGGGAGACAGGGTGGAAGTCTGCGTCCTCGGCACCCAGCAGCCGGTCCTGCTTGCCGTGCCGTGCGATGTGAGTCCCCCTCGGTGGCAGTCGGAAGCCGGGGGTGAGCTTTTTTAATTTTAAAAAAGCAGGGGTCTTGAGGAAGCTTCCAGGTGTGTGAGCAGTGCAAGCTGGCGCAGAAGTCTATTATGGGATGGCGGAGGGAGAGCCGGTGCAGGCGACCGTTTGTGCCAACACCCGAAGCCGGCGGAGCCCCCGCGCTGTCAGGAAGTCCGGCGCTATGTATGCACACAGCCCGTCCGCCCGCACGCGCACACACACACACGCGCGCTCGCACGCTCGCTCGCCGGCTCGCGCCCGCCCGCGCACACACCCTCACCGCTCACACAGGCACGGTGAGGAGAGAAGGGGAAGAAAAGAAAAAAAATCCCAAATCAAATCTGAAGGTCATTTTTAGATCAGAGACAGAGGGATAATTGTAATGTATTTCTGGCAATAAAATGTGAATTAAATGATAAGTAGTGTTTTCAAATAATTGCGTTATATTTCAGCGGACGGGAACGAGAGTGTAATTATTTCTGGTGGGTTCGGAGAAAGGCAGCACTGTCTGGACTATAAATTTCCATTTTCTGCACTTTTCAGTCTCTCTGTGAAAGCAGCCTCAGACTCTCAGGGCTCCTATTGGGCCAGTCCCGGGGCGCTGGTAATTGCCCGATGACAGGCGAAAATGATAGAATAATTGTCAGGAGAGACATTTTTAATGGGCGCGGTGATTTAGGTATGCACGGACGGGCCGCGCGGGGCCGCGGGCTTGTTTATGATGCGGGGCTCTATAAACACAGTCAGCTTGGTGACACAGATATCAGAGCCCTGGGCAGTGACACGCGCAGGCAGGCGCCCGCATACACCGGCTCGCACTTCCTCTGGCCAGTCTGACACTCCTCAGCGTCAGGTAATAAAAAAAAAATCCATCCATTTTCATCCTCGCGACACATTAATGTCACTTTCTAATTGCCGGCCGCTCGTGCATTCTGCCGCACGTGGGGGTGGGGAGGGGTGCTCATAGGGATTCATTTGCCAATTGGTTTAATTGCTCTGAATGATAAGTCGCAGGGCACATCACGCAGGTGCAAAGGCACTTGACTTGGTGTTTATTTTTGGCTTTTTAGTTTTTTTTTGTTTTTTTTTTTGTAAATTGTATCACATGTTTGACATGCTACGCAGGGTTCTTTAGGGTATGTTGATGTGAAAATCCCGTAAAAGCAAACTGCAAGTAACGGCAATATGTTCCCATTCTACTTTACAGTGCGGCTCTTATAAATACAGTTAATACAGTTTTTTATAAGGTTATAACTGTAAAGTGTTAATGAGTCGCAGATATGAGTTTTACAGCAGCGAGTCGGTCTTTGATGGAGTTATTTAGATTTTGCAGTTATCCAAACTTTATAGAGCATGTCCCCGTTTGAATAGGGGAGGTCAGTAAAATTACACACGGTGAAATGCTAATAATCATTATCAAAGGTGGGTGGATAATTTGTTTACTTTATTATTCATGAAGGCGGGTATAGTGCGGTATGCCGCTATTGTGGGTATAATATTAACATTTCATAGGGATTTGTGTTGGAATGTGCTGTGCTGCTTCTTCATAATTTAATACCGCGATGCATAATGAGCTTTGTGATTAGTTGATATTGAGAGTTGGCCCAACTCTGTTCTGAAGGCAGATAATTTGCATTGTCCTCTAGAGTCCGCCTTATGCTTTAGTGTTCTGAAATTAAATGCTACATATTTTAAATTTTTATCTTACAAATCCCTACGGCATATTTTGTTTTGAGCTTGTAGTTTTGCATTTTTTTTTTCCCATCTCCCCTTGAAAATAAGAAGAGTGGGAAAAAATTGTTGCTAGACCACATATTTACCTAGATGTTTTATTTAGAACGCATGAGCCAATTAACACCGTTCATTAGCGGGACTGGGTATTTGTTTTCAAGTTTAACCAATCACTTTGATATGCTAATTATGATGTAATTTAATTTAAGTCCTGTAATGATGATGCCACTATTATCGACATAAATGATGCAGTTGAGTAGCAGTCTCTCATTAGCATATGCTTCTAGCGAGCGGAATCAGGCGGCTAAACTATCACTAAGCTTTCATCCCTCACCCTTTGGCTGTTCCACCTAGCCCTGCGATATTGATGATCTGCGCTTGTCTGTTTTTTAAGCTAAATTTTATTATTATTTTAATTATCATTTTGTGACAGTAGTTCAATTATTTGACACAGGCTACTAAAATGTGAATGATTTTTGTGAAATTTATTTTTAAAATTGTAGCAATTAAAAAAATTAATAGTGCACTTTACAGAATTATTGCAGGATTATTATAATAATTATTTTTTAGAAGTTGAGGCAGGAATGTTAAATGGAGTCTCAGCGTTTTGGTGGGAAAGTTGTGTGTTCACAATGGATAAACATAAATTCTGTATAAATTCCCTCACAGGGAAGGAAAAGCGTCCCCCCTCCCCACACCACATTTTTAAACGCGATTTCAGACCCCCCTCACAGAATGGTTGGTCTGTGACTAAAACATGTTAAAGACTGCCCATTATCTATTTTGTAGAGGGTTAGACTCGGGTAATTTTCCTCTGGAAAGATTATTTTTCTTCAGACCGGTTTCTACTGTTGCGGCCTAATTGGCTACATCAATCTTGTCTGGTATGAATGAGAAATGTTACTGTGTTGTCAAGTGTGATCTTCACCCTTATTTACCAATTCATTAAGATCTATCGATGCAGGACCGGCAAGGAGGAATGGCGACATAAATCAGCTTTCCAACATAATGACCCTAATCAACCAGAAAGAACTGGAAACGTCTGCGTGAGCTATGCCTCCGCGCTGATCCGCCGGGGCCCCTGACCGCCCCGGTCCGTGTCTGCTCTGTCATTAACTTCCGTCCGCTCACCTTCTCACCAGAACCCGGGCCCACCCCTCGTTAGCGTCGAGGTTAGTCCGTCTTCGAAGCCCTTTTAATCTATAAGACTGAGGAGGGGAGGGGGGGGGGAGGAGTGCGTCACAGCCCATAATTACGACGAACAATGAAACGTAAAACTGAGCCCACGTCCAACGGGTGACAGTCGGAGAGCGCAGGATTAGGAGAAGGGAGGTAAAAAAAAAAAAACTGTATCTGGGAGAGACCGAGCTTTAAGCATCCCTCACGGTAGGAATGACGGAGACCAGACACTCTGCCTTTTTATAGGTCAATTACTACAGATTAGGTGGGTTGAATAAATTAAAGAAATTAATTAAAATGCACACAAAGGCTGAGGATCTCACTGGCTGAGGCGTCGCGGGCAACTCCTCGCCCATTACTGTATCGCTTCCTCAATGAAGTGCTCGATGTCCAAAATTTTAATTATACGGAAAAGGGTAAAAGGGAGAAGACACTCTCAGGGCCTCGCTCCTTCAGATGTGACACGTGGCACTCGCCCTTGATTTATTTCTTACCCTCCCCCCAGAACATGGGGAAAACAATGCACTACTTTCTTCTTTATTTAGCTACTGATGATTGCGGCACTTCGAGATAATATAAGACTATTTCCCTAAGCTACCTAGCACCTGTGATTGTAATGCTCTGCCAGTTTCATATGCTGAAATGGATGTTTTACCCCGTCTGCATTTTAAATCCACATTAATTCGCATTAATGGTTTTTTATTGATCTTCCTCTCATATCAACATTTGCATAATTAGCCTGTAAGGGAAAATGAAATTATTTAGACCTGACTTTTATTAATAGGGTCAGACATATTAAAATATTTTTATACTTTGATCTAGGATAATAAATGTACCCCTTTTTTCAGAAGCATATCATTTTGCTGAGAGGATCTTGTCTACAAAGGTATGAGCATGTTTATGAAGGAGATACTTCAACCTCCAACAACTCGGTTTGTTATCGGGGTGATGATGAACCTGTAAATAGCTCAGACTGAAAAAACACATATCAGATCCTGCTTTATTACCAAGGGTTAATTTTATTTGAAATAAAAAAAAAAACAAAGATTTTTCACATGCGGATTATTGTGCTTGAGATATTATTGAATTTGGCTTCCACTCAGTCTGGGAAACCTGTAATTGTTATTATCATAATTTACTATTTTTTTCTTTTTTCTTATTGCAATCTTGTTCTCAAGAATTACTTCATAATACCCCTATCTAAAGAAGAGCTTTCAGCATTATAGACAGGCCGAGAAAGAGTTATTAATGTTTTTTTTTTTAACGCTTTAGCATCAGGGCCGGAAGGAAGCCTGTGGTTTTAAAGTGCCCCCGGTCGGCTCCCCTTATTTAATCTCTGCGAGTGTTCCGTGTAAAGCAGAGCTGTACAGGTGACCAAGCCCTGTTTCGGACACACTCCGGAACGTCCCGCCTTATGTCCCGGGGAACATGAGCGCCGACATCAGCATAAACCCGCCCTCGTCGTCGTGGAGGGCAGTTCAAAGGACAGGGTTCCTGATAAAGGCGAGGGGGTGTGCGTGCGTGAGCGAGCATGTGTGCGTGTGTCCCGTCGTCGCCTCTCCCGCCCGGCGACGACGCTCACGCGTTCGAGTTGGCCGAGCGTCCGCGGCCATGCAGCCTTCCTCTGCCTGGCATTTTGATGTATTAGGCAATCTAACGTGTTAAAGATTTGCGCGCTCTGCTCGTGCCACTTCTTTATTTTGTATGCACCGTAACCCACGTCAGTGATGAATTAATTTCACTGGAGCACAGAAATTGTGATTATTTCAACGCTACTCCTATCTTAGCTTAAACGTGCAGATCAAGTGAGGAGCCAAGCAGAGTGTAAAATGTAATTATAATTTTTCAAACAATACGCCATTTCAACAACCTGCGCTCTCAGCTGGTAATTAATATAATTTGTGCATCGCAGATTTTCCGGTGTATTGTTCTCAAATTATTATTTTTTTGGGGGATTTTTTTTTCCCCTGCTGCTGCTTCAATATTGATGGAGTTTATGTTGGCTTAACTTTTTTTTTCTCGGCTTCTGCATCAAAGACTAGCCTTCGTTCATGTGTTTAGAAGTGGATGCATGGTGTTTTCCCTGAATCCTTCTGGGCTTCCACCCTGACTTCTGTGTCACGTCTCTCTTAAGCTTTCAGCATTGCTGACCTGAGACAGATTCCTTTTCAGAGAGATTGCCCCGTCTGAAATCTGCTACATCCATCTCAGTGATATGTCTGTGTTGCTTTTTTTGCCCCGTCATTTAATTTTGGTCTTAAGTTTAGTACTCGCTAAAATACACGAGTGTGTTTCCTTGGCGGTAAGCGTGGCCACAGCTGAGGGATTCAAGAAGGAGTTTAATTCCCTGTGACTGAAATCTGGAGCCTGATGACACCGATCTCACACACACAGCGGCTGTCAGTCTGCGGTGACCGTCTCGTGTTGACAAATTAACCCCCTTCCCCGACCCGAAACGACCCCGGAACCTGAAACTTAGCTGCAGCCTGTCTGAGATCCCTCAGTGGAAAGTGAGCAAGATGTCCCCCTGATGGTGATAATGAACATATAAAACGTAAGAATGAAAAGAGTGTTTCACGCCATAAAAGACAATGGAAGGGAAGTCCGGTACTTAAGCCTGTTTAAAAAAATGTATGATCAGAAAACAGAGTGGGTAGAATGCCTCTTTGGTTACTTTAAGGCTTACTTCTGTACTTCTTGAGTGAAAGGGATCCCCCAACAAATGCTTGTCTATTCCCCGAATCCTGTAAATCGACATACGTCCGTGTCAGGACCTCGCAAATTTCAACAACTTCCCGACCATCTAAGTGTGGAGCATCTCTCTCAGATGGAAACCTGAAGAATCGCCCCCCCCACCACCACCCACACCCCTTCGAAGAGGCACAGCAGAGGCGACAACAGGCAGCCGTATGCTAATTTACGCGATAAACGGTCGGCTGCGTTTTATTTGAAGATTAAAGGCTGCACGAGACGGGCTGAATGGCCGGGTGTGTTTAGCGCTGGATTATAGCAATTTAAGACGTGTCAGGAGCCCGGCACACGGCAGGCTCTTCATTCAGTCTCGCCGGAAAGGCCCGGAGTAGCTGCTGGCCCGTGCTCTCCGGGTAACGGCGCCTCCTTGTGAGTAAACGCCGCCAGCTCAAGTGACCCTCCGCTTTCAGCCGAGTGAGTTGGCTCGCGTGACAGGTCACGCTATCCAAGGCACAGTCAGGATGCAGTGGCAGTTTTGGGGGTAACAAGGGGGCAACTGCACGGCACGGCGACGGCCTGGATCTCAGCTGGTGGAATGGGGGCGGGTCTGCCAGCTGTCAGCCCCAGGAGCGAGCTCAGCGTCCCAACGCGCATCCACCCTTCTCAGGCACAGTCGGGAGTCTCTCTAACTGATTCCTCCTGAACGCCGCCTGTAGTGATTTTATTAAGAGGGGTCACTGGTGTTAAGGTTAGAATGCAGCCGGATTTCTCAGTATACAGCTGTGCCTTTCGGTTCAGCTTGAAAGGGTACTTGGGTCTGGCGTGTGTCTGGGAATACAGTTGCTTATTTAAAAATTGTCCAATTCTGCGCCGCCTGTGTCCCGTCTGTGGTGAGCAGGGTTGGGGTCGTAACTGCAGTGTGATTTAACGGCAGGTCTGGTCCTGGAGTGCCGTTTCTTTTGTGTAACTTACTGTACAATATCACAAATTCGAGCCATGCTGGTAATTAAATGGGGTGGTATTTCTCAGTTTCTTGCAAAGGTTTGGGGGGGGGGGGGCGGTTTAAATGGCCTCAAGTCCTAATTTGCAATTTTAAGTGGGTTTGAAAAATATTATTCATTGAATTTACCTGTGAATAAAAGGCCTCCTTCCCCACATACGTCTTAGACGCGCTCATTGTTGTTAAGGCTCCATTAGAATTCTCATATAACTAGTAAGTAAGGGCAATCAGAGCCTCGTTCTCTGCATATTTCAAACATCGTGCATGTAAAATTTATGCCTCATTTGAATACTTATTAGGGCGACGCGGCCGCTTTTTCTCTTCTGCCCAGATCCCTCATTGGCTGTCACATCCCCTCTTCATGCACCCCCCCCCCCTTCCCCACCGGTCGACGTTTAAAAAAGACACGTCCTCTCGTGAGCACCGAGCGCGGCGGCCGGCTGTTTACCGCCGGCTGTTGA